CCTGCCTCCCGCCCGCGCGCACCGGCTGCCCGCAGCCGCCGCTCCCGTTCGCGCCGGCGCTGCACGGGAGCCTGCCCGCCGCCGCCCGCTTTGTGCTTCCCCCAGAAGATGGGAGCGACCTCTTCCCGGTCGGGAGCTATTTAAAAGGAGGGAGCGCGCCGCGTTGCCTGCTAGCGCCGCGGAACGGGGGAAGGATCGAGCCACACTCTCCCGAACCAGGTAGGCTCTTAGGATGGGCAGCCGAAGGGATGGGGTCAGCTACCTCCAACTCTTTTCCATTTCGTGCTCCTAAGGCTACACTTCGCTCCGCTTGGGCACAGGACCGGCTGCTAAATTGTGTGTGTGTGTGTGTGTGTGCGCGCGTGCGTGTGCCCCTCCACGTTTTCTGGGGTGTCCGCGCTTCTCCGGGAGCGAAATTGCTCGGGCTGGTGCGTCTGGGCGTGAGTGTGCCTGCCTGCCAGCGCCGGCTGCCTGAGGAAGAAAGGGCTGCTAGGGAGGGATGCTGCACCCTGCGCGGCGCGGGGCTCGGAGGCTTCAGGGCGCGAAGAGCTAAGTCCGCCCGGAATGCTGCGCTGCTGGGCATCCAGGCGTCCCCACCCACCGGGCTCTGCTCCGAGGTCATCCCTCCTCCTGGTAATCCCTGGGGTCTTCCCCCAAGGCCACACTCGCGAGTCTCTTTTCCGGCAAGCTCTAGGTGTTCCTTCGCCACGGACTGCGGAGAGGAGGGAGTTGTGGCCAGGGCAGACGGAACAGGCAAGGGGGGATTGCAGCGGGGAGTGGGCTGAAGGGTCCCGGTCTCTGGACACCGTGCAGCGGTGTGCGGTGGGGATTGGGCGCGCACAGGCATCTTTCCCCCTCGAGATTCGAAGGGAACTTTGCAGCTGCATTATCTGCCTCTGGAGCTTTGCTGGCTCTTGGGGAAATGGTCTGTGTGCTGAGATGTGAGGATATCCTTCTTGGCTCCTCCTTAATGAAGAAGAGGGAGGTCTTATGGGTGGACGGTCGGCTAAAGAAACCAAATCTGCCCCGGCGATGCTTTTAAAAATACAGTATGTGTGCATCCTTGATTTTAAAAATCCACCGCCCCCCCCTCCGCCCCCCCAGGATTCTGTTGACTATTTGATGAATGACTGGGGCTGGCAATTTGTATTTCCCTCTCCAGACAAAGTGGCAGTGGTTGGGTTGAAAGCAGAGTGATCAAATTTAACAAAGAATTTTTTTTTTTTTTTTTTGAAGAGAGCTATAATAGTGCATGGTGTCCGCAGTCACTGGAAAGAAAGTCATGCTTTGCACTGGGTATGTTTAGCCACCCCCCCCCTCCCCTTTAGCCTGGCTCCCTGGCTGGCGCTCTTTATCTCTCCTGCTAGTCAGCCACTAGTGGTTGTGACTATAACAATACAAACTTTGTCCTGCTGGAGGTGTAAAGACTAAAAAGAGAAAAAAGGATATCAGTAGGAGGTGTAGTGGAAGAAGCTTTTTAAAAAATGACAGATGTGGTAAAGACAGTACTGGCATCCAGATCATGGAGGAGCTGCGGAGTAGGTGGAGATTCTGATCAGATCTGGTTAAAGGCATCGCTTGAGTATCTCCAAATATGAGCAATTGAACACCCACAATCCAGCATCTGTGTGAAGATTTCCTAAGGGAAATGGGGAGCAACCAGGAGGGGATTCTGCAAGTATACCTCCCACCCACGCCCCACAAAACACACACACACGCGCGCGCGCACACGCGCGCGCGCGCGCACACACACACGCGCCTGTTTTCTCTTTCTCTCTCAGAGCTACTCCTGCAGCAAGTCCAGAAAGGAGGGAGGAAAATGTGTCTAGATGTTTCATTCATTTCAGATCAGAAAACGAAACCAGAATAACGGTGATTGCCTTTAGGTTCCTCTTTCAAATCCTGTGTTACTTGGATTTCGCTGGTATGGGTTTGCTAAAACTTGCTTAATTGGGAGCTGAGGCTGGTGTGAAAGGAGGAAGGAAGGGAGAGCCAGTTCCATCTTTGGGGCCTTGTGAGTGAGAAGGTGGGGGAAGACCCACTGATTTCATCAAGAAGCAAGATGTGTTTTCTTGAGTGGTTTTCATTTTACAAATTCCACCTGCTTGAAGAATTCCATTTGATTCTAAGTGCTATTTTGCTAAGATTTCTCCCGCCTACTAAAAAAAATGAGTCCTGCTTCCCTGCCCCCCCCCCAAATAGCTGTTGTCTTGTATGAAATATGGGATGTTAATTACTGGGGGGGGGGGGGGATAAAGAACTGGACAGAGGTAGACCATCATTGACTGTTGAGCTGTGCAGGGGTTGCAAAGGATGTAAGTATCCACGACAATCAGACTTCATTTACTCCGTCTTGAAAGCTTAACAGGGCTGGAAGAGGAGAGTAATGAATTAAAAGAATATGAAGGCTGTGCTTTATATCTATCTGTCTGTCAGTCTCTACGTCTATCCGTCTACTTACTTACTTGTCTATACATCTATCTTTCTATCTATCATTACTATTTAATGGTTTCTGCTAGATCATTTTGGATTAAGAGTAGGGGCTAGATAACCATTTTGTTGACCGTAAAGGGGAAGAGAGGTGATATAGCAATAGCAGTGTTTGAACTCCAAATAAAATTACAAAAGGAAGATGACTAGGACTAGTTGCAGGAATCACATTAATTGTTCTTTCAAGCTTATGATGTTTCAGAAAAAAAAAAAATTCCAAGAGAGCTTCAGTATTTTGTTAGCAAGCTATATTTAACATGTTTTTTATCAGACAAAAATAGACTTTTATTTATCTTGCAAAGTAAACGCATGGCTTCTTCCCTCTCAGTATTTAATCTGTTTCTTTGAAAAAAATAAATGAGGATAAAAGCTCTGCAGACCCAATGAAGTTGCATTCCTGCTTTAAAGCAAGTTAAAGCATCCATTTAGGTCATGGATGTGTTTCTCCCAAACTAAGTGCATTTTAGGACTTTGCCATATGATTTTCATGTTGCAATTCAGTGAGAGGAGCCCTTTCTGCATGATGCCTTCAGGTAGAGGGAGCACAGCTTGGAGGTTAAGAAGCAAGCTGTCTGCCCCACCAGCATGGAAACAAACAAGATCCCTGTTGAATTAGAAATTAAATCTGGAAAAAGAAACACATGAGTAAAAGAGGATGGTACAGTACATATCTTGCATGCTTTATATTTTTTGCAGTGTGAATGAATGTTGCTTTTAACCAAAAATTGTTAAGTTGTTGCTTTACATTTGCAGAGAATTTAGGAATCAAAACGTGGCAATCTCTCTTCTTCCTGCTCCTTTCGACCCCCCACCCCCCGCCCTTTTTTCTTGTAAGGGATAGATGTCTCTTGCCAGAACATCTCCCAGTATTGTCCATACCTTATAGTTAGACCCCTCATCATAACCTCTACCAAATAGTCTCCCATTTGATCAAATTCTCCTGCTCCCTCTTGTGGCAAATATTCTCCCTGACTTTCCCCAGATTTCAGAATCGCAACTACCATCCCTCAAGGCCCCGTTAGCTGCCTATCACTTGGGTTCTAATCTCAGTAATATTTGTGGCTGACCAAGACAGTGGGCTGCTGAACTAGGCATTTCCAGTTTTCTCTCTGAACAAAGGGAAATCTACCCCCTGGAGACATACTTGAGATTTAGTGAAAGTACATGTCAGATGCTTTCTGACCCATAGGGATGGAGTAGATTCCGGAAATGTGAGCTTTCACAGTCAGCTTTTGAGATTTTGATTTGGACTCAGAGCTAGTCCGGTGGGGCCTCATTAAATACAGTGAGATTATTTTCCGTTTTCTTTCCTTCTCTTCCAAAAGATACCACTTTCCCTGTGTGTCTGTGTCTGTGTCTCTCCATCTCTCTCTTTCCCTGCCTCCCTCCCTTCCCAGGCTCTTATACACACACACACACACACACACCCCACAAAATATATTTTATAGAACACATATTTTGCATGCTTAAACTAATCAATAATTAGGCTCTCAGTAAGGTTTGTACATCAAACAATCCATTTTCTGAACTGGAGACTTCTAGGGTGAGCTACTCTCACTGGCATGTTTTCATCGAGAGCGGTTCAGAATACGAATGAGGAGACTGGGTGCCTTTTTCCAGTGTGTTGACTCAACTTGGAAGATGGTTGCTTGCAGCCCTTGCTGCCTCAAGTGTTTTGTGTGGGCTCTCCTGGCTGACAACTCTTATTGAACTCTAAGTGTTTTATTTCCACATCTGTAATCGTCCTTTGATCCGCCCCCCCCAGGAGAGTGTAGTATGTAAGGAGATAGACAAA